AATGACATATACATGAAACCACTGTTTTTTTCTGCAGCTGAACAAGTTAAACAATCTTAAGTGCCACCAAGCATGAAATTGTATAACATAATGGAGTCCTCAGGTCTATTTGGCTGAGGACCACTGACAGGAAAACTTGAATTGGGAAAGCAAATCTAAATAATCGAACTGTTATGAATCTTGATAGTACATTATCCACTGAAGTTTGTAAGTAGTTAGCGGAAGCTCTAGATCAAAACAATTCGATAGTTCTGAAGTTTACAGTTCACACACCTGAAGGTCATTAACAGACAGACCATATGAAATAAGTTCTAGTATTTGTCTTTTATCATACATACAGTACATATGAGTAAAGCCAAAGCAATTCAGAGACCACAGAATTCTACTGCAAAAGATCATGAATATTTAAATCTCCTATAGCTAAAATCCTTGTAAAATCAGGCACAAGGGACAATAAAATAGCCAAAACTTTTTAAGCAATCAGAATTCTGCATTTCAGACATGGACATCAAATCAAATAAAATCAGTTCCAAAGTATTGTGAATGCTGTAATAATTCTGATAAGATATTGCTTAAAAATGGGGATGTTAAATTATAAAATAAAGAGGCTATTTAATCAATTTCAAGACCAGGTCCTCGCACCACCTTGCTATGCAAGCAAATTATAAAAATCAAGGATTACTGAGAATTACACGGGGTGTGTTAACTATACAGTTTGATAGTATAATAATCAGGTCCAACTTAATTAGCACAAGCATTTAACAATAAATAACACAACAATTACACTATGAATGGATATATACAGTACAGGTCTATAAGGTCCAGAGCAATACTTTCTACACACGTTAAAGATAACAGATTTTGGTCCCTATAATCATAATACACAGGCCAAAGAGAGAACATTTGCTCATAAAGGAATGGAAACCAATTTCTATAATAAATCTCACAGTCTGGTAGTCTTTTAGTGTTCAGATTATCTGCACTTAAATTGGCTTCAAGTATGAATGGAAAGGGGAACTCTCTCAAGACAAACTTGTGATTTAAATAATGGGTGTTGGATGATGATGGTTGTCTTGATGATTAAACAGTGCTGTCAATTATCTTAGTAAATTATTAGTAATACTACTTTGATTATCTGTATTTTGGCAAAAGCAGCTGTGTAAACACAGTAAAACAATACGCATTATCTCAAATCTTCAGAAGAATAAGGTAACTTTGCTGAGGACTACAAACAATGAAAACCTCCATGAGACCTGGGGGCCGCATCGTAGCCTCAACTGTATCAAAATATTTAGGTATTTATGGAAATAATTACATTAATTTGTTTTCCATTCCTGTTTCTCAGTTGGTGTAAAAGTGCCATAGTGCTATTTACTTAGCTTAGCATTTCTCTCCTATTCAGACTCACCTAAGGTAAATTTGGGTTCGCAGTTAGAACTGCTCTGAACAAGTGCATGCCTACCTCTGAATGTTACTGAACTTTGCAATTAAATTAGTGTGTAATAAGCCTACAAAATAGTTATTAGTATATATAGATAAAAAATACACCCTTACTCCAAGTAATGCTTTATCTAAGATATATACAGTATGAGTTAAGAAAAGAACAAGCAAAGGGGCTCCTAAGTACATACTGTAGTTCAATTGGTAAAAAAGTTATCTTGGAGCACTGATGTCATAGGTTGAATATTGGGCTATGTCATTAGCTAACTTTCACTGGGATTGCCCATGAAGTAACGCACAAAATGTAAAGTGGGATTGATTTCGCCTGAGGATATCTTTCTCGCTGCAGAGATAGGAGCACACATTTATTCCTGTAAGGCATTGTAGAGCTTGCAGCAAATGATGAACAGTTCTGCCAGGTGGACATGTCAGAGGAATGCACACACAGGTCTCCTTACTCTCCTTTTGTGCTCAAGGTTAGGGCTTGGAATGGTAACCCAAGTTCATTAACAACTATCAATTCCAAATCATGTTGATAGAGAATACAAAAATAACTGGCAATTTACCATTTAAAATATAGGAGGAGTACCGTTTAGAAAGACAATGTGCCAAGCATTTTTAGTTTCAGCTTAATATGGCTTCTTATACACTTCCTGTTATTTTAATAAACTTATAGGGAACAAATTGTGATTTTTTTTCATAATTGCCTTTACATTAAAAAATGAAGAAATGTACCACTGATATTTTTGTGATGTTAAATGATGCTGAATAGGGGCAATGAGTATTCCACAGGGAAAACAGCCAGCATATACTTCTTGATATTCTCATTTTATTTTTTAATGTACATTGCTCATTATAATTCAGATCACATCTAACAGGAGAGAACCATTAATTTGGCCAAGCTGTGCTCATAAAATCCTTTATATATCTCCACTCCACATTAATATTCCTGCATGTGCTTTAGCATGCTTTGTAAAGCATATGGGACAGTCTATTACAGCATATTTACTGCTTTCAGATATAATTTCAAGAAAGACCTGTAAACCTCCCTCAGTCCAGTGACAATTATATCTAAGCAAAAACTTATGTCAGACTCATGCTTTGTTACTAATCTAAAACCCATACTCATAAGATTTTGGGATATGTAGTTCAGGTGGGTAGCTGCGTCAGCATGCGTAGGCTGCAAAGGAACAAGTAATAGGTTTATTCCATGCTGAAAAAAAGAAGAGAACACAACGTTTCGGCCGTGGAGCCTTCTTCAGGTGTGAGAGAGACAGGGCAGTAGGCAAAGGTAAAGTAGCGGGAGAACAAAGGTTGGGAGGGAGGAGGAGTGAGAGGCAGGAGCAGGGGACAGAAAGAGAGGCCAATCAAGAGGTGTGAAGTCAGAATGGGTGCAGAGAGGTGTGAAATGAAACTTCCAATGAATGGAGAAAATTTAAAAGAACAGTAATCTGTCGTTAAGGGAAGGGAGAATGTGTGATCCTAACTGCAGAATAATTTTAGTTTCAGTGGTCTTTCTGATGTATGAGTTCGGAAAACCGTCTTTGAGAACACAGACGGAGAGATTAGTGTGGTCGTGGCCGTCAGAGGTGAAATGAGAAACAATGGGCTTGGAGAGATCTTTAATCTTCACAGCCCTGACGTGTTCTCTGAAGCGGTCTCCGAGTCTCCTTCCTGTTTCTCCAATGTAGATGGCTGGGCATTTACTGCAAGAGATACAGTAAATAAGGTTGCTGGAGGTACAAGATGCTGTCTGGGTGATCCGGAATTGTCCTGAGGGGCCTTGAATGAGTGTGGTGGTGGCTGTGTACTTGCAGGTGATACAGCGAGCTCTGTTGCAAGGGAAAGTGCCTGGTGTGGATGGTTGTTGAGGGCGGTCAAGGGAGCTGTGAACAAGGAGGTTACGCAGATTAGGTGGTCGGCGATATGAGATGATAGGGCGATCAGAAAAGAGGGCCCCAATGGAGGGATCATCCTGTAGGATGGAAAAATTCTGGTTAATGGTCCTGGGGATAGGAAGTGTGTTAGGGTGGTAAGGAAGCACCAAGGGAATGCGGTTGTTACGGCGGGAGTTCCTGATCGGGTTGATGGTCCGGGGGGTGTTTTGGGATAAACTGGGATAGATTTTGGGATATGGCAAGCACTTGAATTTTAAATATTTTATTGAAAGACACAAAGGTATATACATTTAAATGAGTTAGTACACACGTGCAGTAAAAATTGTTTTCCTATAAATGCGTTTCAACATTTGAAATTAAGAATACAAGTGATTTTGAAATGACGTGGACATTTTGGTAATGAGTTTTCATTTATTGCAGTTTCAGAGCATTGATAATAATGGATATTCAACCTCAGTGGCAAAGATCCAAAGTTCATTCATACTGCATTTCTATTAATAAGTTGAAATTTTCTGTGAGTGTATTGACTGCAAGTGCTATGTAAAAGCCAATTATAAGTTCTTATACATGTGTACTGTATATTCTTTTTATGAAAAGGTCAGTTACTGTATATACTGTATGCCGAAAAGAGAAGAAAGAAAACACATTTCGGCCATGGAGCCTTCTTCAGGTGTCACCTGAACAAGGCTCCATGGCTGAAATGTTGTGATTTCTTTCTTCTCTTTTCAGCATGGAATAAACCTTTTACTTGTTCCTTTTCAGCCTACGCATGCTGACACAGCTACCCAACTGAGTTATATACTGTATCCTGTTTCAAGGCAATACCAAGTATACAGTATATGCATTTGGCTATCCTACAGAATATAATTTATTGCAAAAACCACTAGTAACATTACCAATTAGCATATTGAAGTATTTTTCTGACATTTGGGATTTTTTTCTTTCATTCATAAGATAAGATCACTTGATTAGCCATATACAATTTCTCGCATTAGGAACTTGTCTTTTTGCATACCCCAACTTGCTCTCCATTAGACACACAGAGAGGGAGAGAAGCTTGGGATCAGTGCACAGGGTCAGCCATTTATACAGCACCCCTGGAGCAGTTGAGGTTAAGGGCCTTGCTCAGGGACCCAACAGAGTAGGATTCCTCTGCCAGCCACGAGATTTGAACCTGTAACCTTACAGCCACAGATCCTTAGCCACAGTGCCACCGCTCCGCCCATACCATTAATTGTACCATTTTAATAATTCATTTTACATTAACAATTGATTTATCAGAAAATCATTTTCTGTATTATTTTCATCATATTATTTTATATTTCATAGACTCTTACAGTTGAATTGAAATTTATTATATCAGTATTGTGTGATTAAGGAATTAGTTTTGTTTAGTTTTTTTATTATTTTGAGTTCATTAAAAGTCCTAGTTTTGTGACAGTTAGTTTTTCTGTTATTTTTAATTTCACTTGATACAATTTCAATCATTACACAAAAAATACATAAAAAGATTTGTACATTGGCAACACCTTATACTAATTAGGGTGCTGTAGCAAGAATTAGTCCTTTAAAAACCCATGTGTACAAAATAAAAATGTGGAACACTACCATAGGTATTTCACCTTTTATTCTGTAAATAACCGTTGAGCACTATGTACTTACTGTTAGTTTCCAGGCTTTCACAGAGTTCCGTTTTGACCTCTCCATTTGGTCTGTCACTTCCTTTTTGTGTCAGTTTGCTTGACATCGTGGCTGCCGTCACTACAGCCTTGAAGCTACGCTTACGTTTTTGCACATTCTGCTCTGGATGGAAGATGATAATATAAACCTTAGGCATATAGAGCATACCCAGAGAGACTGAAGCACTTAAACTCATAGAAATTGTAAGGGTTGTGGTCTGGATGTACATCTGAAAAACATAAGAAAACAACAAAATTCAATGACGTGAGCTTACATAAAAATCTGAGACATTAAAAGAACTTTATACTGATAATACAGAACAATATAGTTGCACATTTCATAAGAGACCATAAATAACTTGAGTGGAATTCTAAAACGCTAGTGCAAAAGTTATAGTAAATATGCTGCCTCTAATATTTATATTTATATATAATCAAGTATTTGTATTAAGATTTTTTTCATTATTTTTTTTTAAGTTGTATAATTGTAGCAATATTTATTATGTTTCACAGTTTAAGAATTTCTTCTTTTTTTGATGGAATAAACCTTTACTTTACATTGTAATCTATTATACCTGATAACAGCAAATGAAAAAGGTACAGAAGTATACTGGTGCCTAAAAGAAATGCAGCATTCAGGCTAATGAGTTAGGGCAAATGTTTTAAACATACAAAAGCTAAACAGCAAATGAAGTGAAAATACAATGTTTTCATTATGTAATGTGACACACTGTTTCACATTTGAAGAAAACATTACATTTTATGTAAGTTAGTGTCTCTAAGCATTTACACAATCGTGGAAATAGTGACACATAGACTTAAACAACTTCTGGACAGACTCCTGTGGGTTGTCCCATTCTTCCTGCACAGCCAGCCAGTGAAGCTGGCCATTCATAGTTCTTTTCTGTTAATGACTTTGATAAGTTGGAGCCACAAATATTCCACAGGACTGCAGTCATGAGAAAAAGCTAGCATTAAATAAGAGATAAGATGAGATCAAAATTTCACGTATTTGGAATTTGTCTCTTCGCATTCCCCAACTTGCTCTCCATGAGACAAGGACAGGGAGAGAAGTTTGGGGTCAGAGTGCAGGGTCAGCCATTTAGACAGCACCCCCCGAGCAATTGGGGTTAAGGGCCTTGCTCAGGGGCCTAACAGAGTAGGATTCCTCTGCTGGCCACAGGATATGAACCACCAACCTTCCAGCCACAGGCACAGAGCCACCCCACCGCCGAATGGCTGTACCTTGACATTGTTTTCATGACGTTATGCCATTGTAATCCTAGTACTGTGTGGCCTTGCTTTACTCTAGAAAATCAGCACCCTACAACTGATGTGCTGTAAAACTGTTGCCTCAAAGACACTCAATGTATGGATGAGCAGTAAGGTCACCCTAAATCTAGTAAATCTTCTGTTAAAGAAGATTCCCCTCTACATTATCACACTTCCACCACCCTGCATGATGCCTTGAACAACTCAACAGTCAACAATGTGCAACATGATGTCTCTATACAAGTTGTCTAATGTCTTGTCTGTCCAGAGCAAAACTGCATTCCTTGGTGAATAGAAAAATAAATACTTTTTTTGCTGCCATCTCAGTTGTTCTCTAGTCCACAGAAGATGATGATATTGTCTCTGAGCTGTCAAAATCTTACTCCTGTATAGCAGATCATTTTCATGCAGAGTTCTACTGTCGTTCTGCTGATGTGCAAGTTATTTTTTCTTGGTCTTTTTATGTTGTAGCCACAAAATTTGGACTTTCATATTTTCATAGTGGCTGATAATGTATAAAAGATACTTAAAGTATGACAGTTACAGTATTTTTAACCTTTCTTCTCTTCTTTATTACTTCATTCGCAGACCCATTCAATACATTTTTTATGCTTTTTTTCTTAGTTTCACTGTTTAAATAATTAACCCTACATGAAGAAAAAATGTAGGAATAAGAATTCTTTTCTCATATAGCCAGCTATGATGTTTATAGTAACTACTTTTTGTTCTTTGCCTGGTAATAAATAGGAAGGTCCACCCATACTGTAAATATTTTCTTTCTGAAATATTTTTAGTAATTGTTTTATGTGTTTATAATTAAAATTGCAATATTATTAAAAGCTTGAAATGTTCTGATTTCTTTACATAGTCTAGGTTTGGAATCATGTTTTTTTAGCTCTGAAAGACTAACAATGCACTATTAATTAAAAAATGTGAGTGCTACTAAGATTTATTTTATTTTAATGTTTCAAATTGAGGACAAGATTGTCTTTAAAATATGTAAATATTTCAAAATCTCAATCAACTATTTGTTTTAAATCAGCTCATGGTGCATCACTATTCTTATTCCTCTAATAATTGCATTTAATTTTAAAATAAACCAAGAAATGTTAAACATTTGCAAGATGTGATTTGTTACATTTTTCTGTATTTGTAATGTATATACAGCATTTGTGAGCTGGTTATTCTGGTCCTTGGTTGAATTCTGAATATTTGCTGATCTACTGATATTTATCAGAAAGTAGTAGGAGAAGCAGTAGTTATACCCAGGGCTACATTAATGTGCAAATGACATGAGTAATACATTTAATCTTCCCTATTATAATCACACATCTTGATCCATGAACATTTATCGATCAGTCCAGAAGAACATATAAGACTGGCACAGTATACAGTACCATTAACTACTGTATTTCAAATACTACATATTCCAAACTTTGTAAACTCTGTAAGTGTTTTTATTTCAGAGCAAATTCAATGTTACCATATAAAAGCTGAAAAATCCATTAAAATGTTTAATTAATGAATAAGATTTCAAAAATACAAGTAATTTGCAAATAGAATATTAGTGATTACAATGGTTCATAGCTTTTCATGGCTTAACTAGTTGCTCTAATAAACTGTGCTGCAGGCTATATTTGACAACTGAAAATGCCCTAAAAACTGCTAGCACATCAGAGGCTTATTGGTAGGTAAGTAAAAAAAACTTCAAAGTATCATATATATCTGTGTAGACTGCAGAGGTCAAGTGCAAAAAATTACCTACTGTATGTCATAAAATATGCAGCAGGCAGACATTTTCAAATATATCTTTGAAGCAAACTGCTTTCAAAACTGAAGTTAATTCTTACAATTAACATTCATTAGAAAAAATGTGTCAGAGACCTTAAGAGTCAAATTGATTAAACTGATAACTTCAAAACAAAGATATTTATCATGACAGCAGAACAGTACTGTACATAGAAAATACATAAGCTGTGTGCATCAGCTGTCTCTGATTTAGATCACTAAACTTGAAGGTCTGGAAGAAAACCAGGGCACTAAAGCTCATTGACATTTTCTACCATGATTGCAACACTATGTTAATAATAGTAAGAAAACAAAAAAAAAGTGGTAAAGATGGGAGAAAAAATACAGACTTTAAAAAGAATGCATTCTGAACACTCAAAATATTTTTCAACTTTTTTTTAAATACAGCCTACTGTATAAAGGGAAATACATATTATATATTGTAGTAGTTCAGTTGGGTAGCTGCGTCAGCATGCGTAGGCTGCAAAGGAACAAGTAAGAGGTTTATTCCATGCTGAAAAAAAGAAGAAAGAAAACAACGTTTCGGCCATGGAGCCTTCTTCAGATGTGAAGAAGGCTCCACTACTGAAAGGTTTTCTTTCTACTTTTTTCAGCATGGAATAAACCTATTAGTTGTTCCCATACTGTATATTGTAAAGTATATGTAAGATTTTGAAAACAAAATCTTTCTAAATTAATATAATGATTTAAATATACATATATTATACTATGTATATTAAGGTATTTTCCTGAATCAGTTTTAAAAAATGATTTAATATACTGTACTATATAATTAAGAAAATCTCTATTATCTGTATGATTATAATTGGAAATTTCAAAGAGTACCTCAATAACTTTCTATTAAAAACACTTTCAAAGTCATTGACACTTTTGCATGCTTCACAAAAGGTTGATAAATGCTAACGTCCGATATTAGAATTCATGTTAGTACAGAAATGTTGTCAGTACATTATGATGACCTTAATGTGACCTGTCCTGGTGTTTAATCTTAAGTAAATATTTGATATATAACTATCATGACAAATGTACTGCTCAAACTATTATCTTATTATCTTGTAAAATATTTACTCTAATTTTATCTCCATATATTTTGTCACTCCAGACATTACTGAGATTATTAATCTTCAGTATATCCCTGTCTAGATGTCTTATGTGTCAGCATGCCATTGGGTATCTTGTATTTTGCCTACGTGACATACAGTGTTATTGCAACAGATGGACAGGATAGTTTGTCAACAATTTCACAGAGAAGATATGGAAAGGAGAGTTACATGTGCAATGTTGCCATTGCCAAAATATAATGGTAGTGTGCTCTCTGAAGGCACCAGTTCTGTAGGGTTTGGGCATTTACTGGGACAATTATTAATTGTAGCAGTAAATCACAAAATTGATTCTTTTGATGGCTTTAGAATCCAACCATGCGACATAACTCAAACAATGCACACACACAGGTACTAATACACGAGGATACATTTATGAATACATAGAATATGCATATAAACTAATCGATCTTATCGAGAGGGTTATCAGAATACAAAAGGTATATATTCAGTCAGTTACAAAGTGTTACACATCAAGAGGACATACGTTCAGTATATCATTCATTTAGACCGTTTCGTAAATGAACTTGGTTATAACTTCTACATAGGATACTCAAAACAAGAACATGACTCTTAGGAATTAAATTGATATCAACTGGTTGGGATAAGAATTGAATTCTCGAGCTGTAATGCATTGAAGTTGAATACTCGTCCAATCTCTGGGGATTCAGATCTCCTGCGGGCACAAAGAAACAGTTGCAGGCTGTTGCTGTCCAATCCGCGCTCTCTGGCTGCATGCCAGGCTGTGCTGTGCGGCTTGCGACGGTGCGCTGCTGATGCTCACTGACCGGCTAGTTAGTGTTGGCTTTAACTAGCACAGTTTGTGCACAGGAGAAAAGATGACTGTGGGTCTCAACAAGTCAGGAAGAGGACCGGTTCGTTCCTGATGAAGATTTAGTTCTGAATAGTAATTCAGCTGTCCACAGTTCCGACCTGTTCACGAGGCCTGCTGCTGGTGCGAACCTCGGGTGGATCCTCTGGTTACTCTCTGGCAACCTCCGCTCTAGACTCTTAGAACAAAGGAAAGTTCTGGTACTCGGACACACTGG